TCTTACTATAGAACATTTATAAAGGACTTTATACAGACAGCCGAACGCTGTTACAATTGAAAAGAAAGAAACCATATTTTCGTGGGCAGCTGAGGCATTTCAAAGACAAAGCTGCGCTAATGTAAATTCTGTGAAGGGGACAAAAATTTCGGCTGATTCTTCGGATTTCACTATAGGTGCGGTTTTGGCGCAGAATAAGGAGCCCGTGGCGTAGTTCTCAAAAGCCCTAACTACACGCCAACCGAAAGAGAAACTTTGGCCGTACTTTTAGCGGTGCAGAAGTTTAGATTTATTGGGTCCCTTTCCAAAAAGTGAAAGTAATAGAAATAGATATTTATTATTCGATCATTTCTCAAAGTGGGTAGAAACAGTCCCTCTTAAAAGAGCCTCAGCGTAAACTGAAGCCGATTCTTTTCTAAATAAATAAATAAATACATTCTAAATTATGGTGCACCACTTAGGAGAATATCGGATAATGGCCCCCAATTCGTTAGCCAAATTTTCAAGAGCTATGTGCAGGACTTGGCATCCACCTTAAGATGATAGCCATGTAAAAATGTATCACCAACGCTGGTATGACTGTGTAAATGAATTGGCGTATGCCCTCAGAACGGCCAAGCACGATAACACGGGAAAGACTCCTTGAGATTTTTTTGGGAAAAGATAATTATCCCTTTAGATAAACTGTTCTTTGTCCAGAAAATTGAGGCAGAATTTAAAACTAAATGATATTCAAAATTTAATTAACGATGCAATCAAAAATTCAGACGTAACCAGAGAAAAAACAATAATTGCATTATAAAAAGAAAAGAAGATACTTTAAAACAGGGACAAAGTGTTGGAAAAGAAACATGCATTGTCTTGCGCCCCACTAGATAAAGTGTTAAAATTTTCTCCCAGATTTGAAGGCCCTTACGTTATTGAGCGTATTTGTGGGTCCGTTGTATATTTAAAAGGAAGAAGGCAATATCACTGACAATATGGATGAGTGAAAAAATACTAAATATCGTAACGAGATACCTATTTTTAATGAAGGGCCTTCAGCTTCACAAATCGTTCTCACAGGAACAAAAAGGAAGGAAGCCAGAGTGAGTCTTCATAATTTTAAAGCACCAGTTTCATCCCTCCCTTTTTTTTTTCTTTTCCTGTGTGTGTGAACTTATTTTATGTAAGAATAATGTTATTAGATTCGATTCATAAAGGTATATGAATAAAAGCTTCACATGTGTTTTAATTAAAAAATTTCCAATCTAAACTCTTTCAAAGTGAATAAATCTGTTTCAACTGCCAAAATCACGTCTGAAGTTCATGAATTTTAAAAAATTCAGTGTTACGGTAGCAATCCCAAACTACACGGATATGGTAAACTTCCAGACTGCAGTTGCCACAGTCACTGTCAAGTAAATTTTCCACTTCCATATATTTGGCTTTCATTTAAATGTTTTGGAATGCCTTGGCTGAAACTTTACTCTCGGTTTCACTATGTTTTGAAATGCTAGAGTATAAATTACACTGCCTGACTGGTTTTAGAACGATCCCTAGGAAGGTGGCCTAGAAAAAACAGATAAAAAAAAAAAAAAAAAAAAAAAAAAACCGGTAAGTGGTCCGGCAAACGGGGATAAATAAAGCTTGTAAATCTCAAGTTTAAATCAAGATTTAAATCTCACTTACAAAACAAAACCATCCATGAGTTTTAGTACCTGTTATGTAATGCAAAAGATGCCTTTTAATCTTCCTAAATACGAGATTTTAATGTCTTGATGGATACGAAGAAAGTTTGAAAAAAATGTATGTGGAGAGAACTGAATGGGATGAAAATTCTAATTAAATAACAGACATTTATGCACAGAATAGAAGAGAAACACGCCAGTGTGACAATCAAAATCGCAATAATAACCTTGTATTTAGCGCACATATATTTAATATATGTACGCTAAATAGAAGGTTGTTACTGCGATTTTGACATTTATGCATGTTAAATTTTATCTTATTTGTGTTGCTATACGATGATAACTAGGTTTTTCTTCCATTTACGTTACAATATATTTTTGTACTCCAAAGGACGTTAGCTCAGAAGGGCTATTAATTTCATTTTCGCATTTTGCGTCGAAAACTTTAAATGTACGTTTCACTTTTCAAATTGTTCCCAACAAATATTATTGCCGTGTTATATTTAAAAAATTAAATAATGAAGGATCTGCAGAAATGTATGTATGTTTCTCGCACTGTAATAAAACAACGGTACCTAGAGCCATCCAATTTTGAATAACATAATCCTCAATCGAATAAGGGCATCTGGAAGCCCTATTTTGGAATTTGTTTTATTATCGATTTCATATTTTCTAAAGCTTTTACGAATTTTTCATTAACAAACTCATCAATTTCAAAGCGAGCAATGGCAACTCTGTACGGTGTTAAAAAAAAAAAAAAAACTCCACTGCAGGAGACTGTGTTTCCGAAATTCTAAAGATATGCTCATTTCAAAATTATTTTGCGATATTTCTGTTGAATTGAATCTCATGGTTAAAGTAAGAACATGATATTTAAGAAATAAAGGTAACACACAAAAGGTTAAAAAAACATTGTGATAAAACAACGGTACCTAGAGCCATCCAATTTTGAATAACATAATCCTCAATCGAATAAGGGCATCTGGAAGCCCTATTTTGGAATTTGTTTTATTATCGATTTCATATTTTCTAAAGCTTTTACGAATTTTTCATTAACAAACTCATCAATTTCAAAGCGAGCAATGGCAACACTGTACGGTGTTAAAAAAAAAAAAAAAAAAAAAAAAAAAAAAAAAAAAACCCTCCACTGCAGGAGACTGGATTTCCGAAATTCTAAAGATATGCTCATTTCAAAATTATTTTGCGATATTTCTGTTGAATTGAATCTCATGGTTAAAGTAAGAACATGATATTTAAGAAATAAAGGTAACACACAAAAGGTTAAAAAAACATCCCTTTGGTCGTATGTAAAATTTGAAAGCTTTCAGATATTTTTTTTCATTTTCTTTTTTAATTTGTGAGTGAGAGCCCTGCCTTGACAGATTCTAAATGTGCTGCCGCCACTAATTTCCGTTACACCGGCCGCGTCGGCCCTGCTACCGATAGCGAAGAAGTGAAAAAAGAGGTGGTTAAGAATGAAAAGATTTCGATTAACAGCTTAATGGGAATTCTCAACAAGAAAATTACAGGGCTTGAACAAATGAACAGGAAATTATGTCTATCTATAAAACAAAAGAGTAAGTATTAGCACATAAAACAAATAAATATTGAGAGTTTTTTTTTTGTAAGGTCATAAATACAGCAATTTAATACACAACAGTTTAATATTTTGAATTTTATAATTTCGATATGTCAGTTTCCTAGATTTTAAATTGATGCTCTAAAACCCGGTAATTTGCGAAATCCGGCATCAGCAAAGTTCCGACGATTCCGGATCTTGGACTGTGTACTGCTTTAATTTTTAATATTTTGTAACAATAAATAGTAATCCTAAAGTTTCCTTAAATACAATATTTCAAAAAATGCATCTCATTGTGCTTCAAAGTAGATATTTAACAATTATAATTTTCTTTTAAATGAAATTCTGTTACCAAAAAACGGGGGAAAAATCAGAATTCCGATTTTTTCTCCTGCTCTTTTGTAATGGAATTTCAGAATCAAATATTAAATTTATATATAATTTAGGACAGGCAATAAATAGCTGATTTGTTGCCTGTCCTCGTCATTCAAGTGAAGTAAATGCCTCCCTTTCATCACCATCAACAAAAACCTATTTCATTCCTTTTTTTATTCATTATCTTATTTTGTTCAAAGTCATGAAGAATCACAGGTGAGAAATAAGTACACCTGTAAGCACATATGATGCCAATAAAATTTTTTTGAACATAGACCCCAGTTTTGATTAAAAAAAAAAAAAATTCCAGGTAATAGCAAAAGGCCCCATACTCTTATTTTTCTGTCTCTTAAAATCACAAAGGCTTTCAAGCTTACAGATTTTACCTCTCCCAGCTGAATGTAATACAATAATCACACACATTCAAAATGGACACTAAAGTCTTATCCAACTGGTGCAGTAACAGTCTTTACTATTATTAACCACTATACAAGTAATCATAAAATAAAATATCAGTAATCATATAAACAAGAAAACCAACATTAGGATTTTGATAATAGCTTTGCTCTGAAGGAATATTACCAAAAATATACTTAATTTGCCCCTTAGATTATTATACATTCCTGAAATAAGCAACAACTGATATCAGTAAATGACAGACCACCTCAAAACTCAAGCCCCCTTAATTAAATCCTTTGCATAAAAGACACAGCATAAAGACTAAAATATCAGCAAAATTCATATATGGATTCAACAGCGAATATACACATATTTAAATGAAAATAGCCCCTAACACAAGATGAATCATCTGACTATCAATAGCTAGTAAGATGGCAAACTAACTTAGCCATAACACCAGAATAAATCTCACAAACCTGTTGCTGATTCTCAAGTAGTTCAAAATCACTTCTTAGCTAAAGTATAATTTGGCCCTTAGATTATCATACATTCTTGAAATAGGCAACAACTGATATCAGTAAATGACAGACCAACCCAAAACTCAAGCCCCCTTAATTAAATCCTTTGCATAAAAGACACACCAAAAGACTATAATATCAGCAAAATTCATATATGGATTCAACAGCGAATATACACATATTTAAATGAAAATAGCCCCTAACACAAGATGAATCATCTGACTATCAATAGCTAGTAAGATGGCAAACTAACTTAGCCATAACACCAGAATTAATCTCACAAAACTGTTGCTGATTCTCAAGTAGTTCAAAATCACTTCTTATCTAAAGTATAACTCAACATTATTTAAAAATTTCAAATTAGAAACTTTTTTTTTAAATCTAAATGAGTGTATATGCACACACAGAAGACATACAAACACAAAATATTTGATTGGGATATATCATACAAACACTCAATTTTTTAATAAAGTACTTTTTAATACAGACTATACAATATTTTATAATACATAGTAACAAATTACAACACAGCAATATTTCTTGCACTATGAAATACTGTAGCAAGCACAAACATCCTTTTTTTACATATTCAATCATAATTCATTAAAAATTAGAACACATTTATGATACGAGATTCTTCATTTTAGTTATACCCTTTACAATTACAGATTCTTTTTCCTCATATTACAAAAACTATACCATTTAATAAAACATAAAGAAAGAGCTGCAGCTAATTAATTTTTTTTTTCCATAATACAGAAAAATATCTTAGCTGAAATCAGAATTCAACAAAATGCAATTATAAAAAATTACTGTATTTTAGATGTTTTGCAATAACAATATTCTGTTTTTGAAATAAAATATGCAACTACCAGAAAATTATTCATTGTAGCTTGATTAAAAACATTTTAAGCAAAATTTTTACTTATTCATCAAGAACTCTCTGGTGGACAAAAACAGACAAAACTCTGATATTACAACACACAATAAAACAAAGACTCTTGCATGACAACTATATAATTATATATTTGTCTTTTTTCAATAATGAGATTCTAAAATTAGATATATGACCAAGAAACGAAAAAAAAAAAAAAAAAAAAAAAAAAAAAAAAGTATTTAATTTGATGTCAATTTTTTAACACAAAAAATTTTCATGCAACTATTGACTCCCCTCCTAAATATTTGAAATTAACAATGCTATGAAAAAGCAGAAACTTAACTACTCATGAGCTAGTCACTTTTCAATACATTTTTTTTACCTTTTACATTAAAAGTCAAATAAGAAATATTAGAAAGAAACATTAATTATTAAACATTCTCTCAAAAAGTAATTAATGTATTCATAAACATTAATAAGTTTATACTTTAAAAACTTAAAACATTTAAATTTTACTGTACTGAAATTATGATTAAAAAAAACTGATAATACATATTTATACATAAATCATCATTAGTCAGAACATTTACAGTATATGCATAAATAACAACTTATAATAAATACCCGCATTAATGCAATAATAGCAAACAAGAATTACTAGTTCACATATACAGAGAGAAAGGGGAAAAAAAAAGAGCTTCCACAGAATATACAATACACATTTTATACACTACATATTTAAATTTAAATAAGCATCTAAAAATCTAATAAAAACAAACACTTCTATCTACATTATAAAAAGGGCAAAAAGCAGCACACAAAACAATTGCAATTTTAAAACCTAAATTACATATATGAAAAATATAATTTTTAAAACTATATTTCTTCTTACATTTTAAAAAACAATATCTTTACATCTATACACAGCAGGAATTACCAAAATCTGATTTCAGGGAGAGCAATACTAAATATGATATAAATTCAAATAAATCAATAATCTCATAAAAAATTAGTATTTGGAAGTTCTGTTACTATCTTAAAAAAATTGGTATCACAGTTGAAAACATTCCTGACAAATAAACAAATATAATTAAAAACATTACTACAAATATTTTGTGCATACGACCACATCCTATTTTTCATGAATAAATATGTACAGTTGTATTATGCTAATAAAAGCACTAAACTTGCTAAAAAAAGACTGTTTGAAAAATTGCACTGTTCTTAAGAAATATTTTTACTAAATTAAAACACCATGTTCACAATTCCATTATTGATTTACGTGAATTTTGGTAATTCAAACTGCATATAAAAAAGGAAAAATGGTACACTAATAGTAAAACAAATAAATACAACTATTCGCGACAAAAACTGCTTTAACATTCAATCAAGGCTAACAGATTCTTCAAAAGTCTTGACATAATTTAAATTACACCTCTGACTAGAAGATATACACAGCAATGCAAAAGATTTCATTTACTGCGTATTAAAAAATCTTGATAATTATTTGAGTATTTTCTTAAAAGTCCTAATCAAGGGGAAAAATATATAAATCTTAAACAGAAACTAAGCAATTAAGATTTTGTAATAAACCACAATTAGAAACTAAGTGCATCAAAAAATTAAATTTAAATATAATAAACATGTTAAGAATAACAAATGCCAAACATGAAGGACACAATTCGGGGTTATTAGCAAGACACAACACTATGTTTTGTATGAACTTTCTGCAGAAAATTTCATAACTGCTGATCACTTTTTGTTAAGTGTATATTCACACCTGTTAGCCAAAATTTATTCTTACATCATTAAATGTTAATAGGTGCTTTATTCTGAGCAATAAACATTATATTTTGATTATGACATTTAATAAAGTTTTGTAATCGGAAAAAAAAAAAAAAAAATCTGAATGGTCAAAATACTTTTACCACACATTAAAATCCCACACACTGCTTGTAAAATATAATGCAATAAAACTATTATTTATTTACTTTTAAACATTTACACCTATACAAGTATATGCATTCCTTTGTTTATATCATCTAATATAAACCCTGAAATTGAAAAAGAAAAATCAATGGCAAGTAAAAAAAAAGTAATTTACTTTTGATTACTAATTTTGTTGATGAAACGCTAGTAAAAAGAATTTACTTTTTATTACTATTTTGTTGAAGAAAATGCTACAGCTGAGGAAACAGCAAGAACTGTTACTTTTCTCCTTATTCAATTACCACCTCATTTCTGTTGTTTGTTGACTTTCCCTTGCTTTACAGACAAATGAACTTTCTGTTGTTACCTCAATGCAAATGTGTGGATAAATGTTTTCTATTTTCTTAAAATTTCATTATGTATTTTCTATAATAATAAAAAGAAGAAGACAGAAAGATTTTTTGGTGTCTCCTGATTAAATGAACAAAAATACTTCAATATAACAACACACATTTGATACAGATATATTTCTGTCAAATGTTTCTTGTAAAGCATACAGCTTTTTTATTATAATACTGAAATGAATACTATAAGGCTTCTTGTTAAGAGTAATGCCAATCTATGGCTGAACTTTCCTAATTCCAGATCTTCTAGAAACTTACAAAAATACTGGTAATATATGGATTTTTGCGAAGAATTAAACTTTACTACATTTACTAGTAACATATACTTCTTCTTAGCACATTCTTTCAGCATAAAGAGACAAAGCACAAAGAAAGATGTACTCTTTCAGGCTAGAGAATTATCAACTCAGCTACTCAAAAATAGAGTCTGATTATTATTCTTAATTAAATGTTTTTCATGCAGTTTAGGTTAAATATTCAAAACAACTTAATTCAAACTGAAATGAAATTCATAAATTCACAGTCTATAAAATGAAGAAAATTTATAAGGCAATCCTGTAAATGCAGCTTTGCAATCTGCAAACAATTAATCAATCACCCTGCCCTATAACATAATTAAAACTTTATAATTTTTAATATATTATTCCCACAAACATTTCATGCATAGTAATAATAATTAAGACTTAATTTTCTACACAAGCTGAACCAGATACAGGAATGACTTTAAGAAATAAAATTTCACTTATATGCTACACAGAGATTCAACTATCAAATTAGATTTTACTGATTACTGATTACAAAACTATAGACAAAAAGAAAAAGTGTTACATATTATAAAATTTATTTTATGCATATTTTATTTTAAACATAAATAAATATCTATTTTCACACAAAAGTAAAATATTATTTCATTATGCAAGAAAGAGAATATACAAATTTTGTTAAATATTTCAAATGAAAATGCTATTAATTAACAGTACCTCTCTCTCTTTCTTTTTTATAGAAAGTAGAGATGCAATTGATTTGAAATTTCAATATTAAATTAATTATTGATAAAAAAATAAGTCTAAAAATGTGCTTTTATTTTGGTATAAATATGCTTTTGTTTCTAAATATTTTCAAAAGTAAAGAAAGTATTAAAATCTTATTTCAAAAATGAAATTTCTATTTACCTAATTTCTTAACAGATTCAAAACACTTAATCCAGTCTAGAAATTAATAAATTTCTATAAAAATATTTCCTCTAAATATTATTACATATCAAAGGCTGTTATTATAATAACAAGGATCATGAGGAGAAGGAGGATTGCTCAGACTGTTTCGACTTCCAGGACCTGAAAAATCAAGTACAGAATCCACTTCAGCCATATGACGCAACTTTGTCCATATATCTAGAGTGGATAAATTTGGGGATGATGGTCCACTACTGGATACAAAAGATGGTGGCCCACTCCACAGAATACCTGCATATAAGTTTATAGATTATTCTGGTGCTTGCAATAAAAAAAAGTAATAATAATATATATAAGTATTAAAAAAATCTGATAAAATAACAGTTTCTTTCTTTTTTTTTTTTTTGGTTCACATGAACATTTCCAGAAATGAGACATATCTATATATACACTTCATAAACCGCTACATACACTGGTGTGCAAAAATTAAGGACGAAGTCGAAAAATTAGCATATCAGCTGAACGAAGAGGCAGAGTGGACAGAAAGACCAATCAGGAGATTAAGTAAGGTGATGTACGGTAGCACATGCGCAGATATGCAGGTAGACGTAATGGGAGAGCGTCTGAGTAGTATAAAGCATGTTGTTGGTGTAAGATCAGTATTTCTGGCAAAGAGATTGCACGTCGTATAGCAGTTAAAATCACACCGAGTTGCTGCCTCAGTGAGAAATGGCGAATAATCAATCTGTTAGACGACATCTGGATGCTTTTACCCGAGGTCGAATCATTGGGAAGTTGGAGGAAGGCCGCAGTGTGACAAGTGTGGCTGCAGAGTTCGGAATTGCTCACAGCATCGTTTCACGACTTTGGAGACAATTTCAAAATACAGGAACAGCTATCCGGGGGTTTAGTAGTGGTCGTCCACGAGGAACCACACCCGCAGATGACCGGTATATTGCCTTACAGGCCAGAAGAAACAGGCGGGAGAAATCGCTAGACACACGACTGGACGACCGATATCGCGTTTTACCATGGCCAGAAGACTGCACGGTGGTGGTCTGTTTGCACGACGCCCTGTACGGTGTGTACCTCTAACGCCTGCCCATCGGAGAAGGCGGTCTCTGTGGTGCCAGGAACACCGGAGACAATGAATGGGGACGAGTACTCTTTACAGATGAGAGCAGATTCAGTCTGAGTAGCGATTCTCATCGCATACTCATCTGGAGAGAGCGGGGAAGCCACAATCATCCCTCGAACATCATTGAAAGGGACAGGTATGGAGGTGGCGGTGTTCTCGTTCGGGGAGGCATCATGCTTGGTAGTCGTACAGACCCTCACATCTTCGACACAGGTTCAGTCAACGGGACCCGTTATTGTAACGAGATTCTTCTTCCATATGTGCGTCTTTTTAGAGGCGCTATGGGTCCGCAGTTCCTTTTCATGGACGATAATGCACCATGTCATATTGGGGTCTTTTCTTTAATGTAACGATGCAGAAAACTTCATACAAAAAGTTATTAGTAGTTCCTTTTTATTTACTCCGGAGATCTTAATTTTTGTAACTGCTATTTTCTCCTGAATATGAATATTGAAATGGATCGTGTTTTTTAAACTTATCGTCTGATAATTTAAGCTACAACTACATCTATGATTCTTCACCAATTTATTTATTCCGGACAAAAGCTGGTACATCATATATATATATATATATATCTAATGTATACACAATTTTTAGAAAATTTGGAGATATTTATAAAAATGTGTATTTCTTGTATTCCTTAAATTTTATATCATTTTTAAACTAATATTAATAGTATTTGTTACATATATATACACTGCTGGCTACCGTAAATGCAACACCGTGAAGGAAGCATGCAAATAACATGAAATTTACAACATGCAATAGCGGAGGTGAGATATGCAAATGATTAGAATTTCAGCGCAGATGCACATCACGCGTGCCTGTGGCACCACTTCAAAGCGCTATTTAAGGCTTGGAGTTTTCGACGATTTCAAGTTCGGCAATTGTGTTTTTCTTGTGGTTTTTTTAAAAAAAAAAAAAACAATCAATTATGCCTCGTAGTAAACAGCGATCATCGTTTAATCAAGTATCTGAGTCTGACAGAGGAAGGATAGTGGCCTACCGGGAGTGTGGATTATCTTTCAGGGAAATCAGTAGTTGTGTTGCACGAAACCAAACAACTGTAATGCGGATATGTGACCGTTGGATGCAGGGGGGTACGACGGACCGACATGTTCGTTCGCATCCACCTCAGTGCACCATTTCACGTGATGACAGGAACACTGTGCGCATGGCAGTGACGGATCGCTCAGTCACATCACGAACCATAGCACACCACATTCAGTCTGTAATGCATCAACCAGTGTCTGCGCGTACCATTTGACGCCATTTACAACAGAGTGGTCGGTCCACAAGACGTCCATTGCTTGTCTACCCTTGACGCAGAACCACAGACGTCTCCGCACCAATGGTGAGATGAAAGAAGGATGTGGACAGCAGAATGGAATGAAATTGTCTTTACTGTTGAGTCACCCTTCTGACTGCAACACCATGATGTCGGATTCGAGTCTGGAAACACAGTAGAGAGAGGATGCTGAACAGCTGCGTTATGCACCGCCACACTGGTCCTGCACCGGGTATTATGGTATGGGGCGGTATTGGATATCACTCTCGCACTTCTCTAATACGCACTGCCTGTACTTTAAACAGCCAGCGCTAGATCTCCGAGGTTTTGGAGCCAGTTGTCCTTCCTTACCTTCAGGTCTTGCCCACAGCCATATTACAACAGGATAATGCACAACCATACATGGCACACATTGTCCAAGGGTTCTTCGTCAATCGCCAGATTGACTTGCTCCCTGGCCGGCTTGCTCTCTGGATCTTTCGCCGATGAGGAAATGAGGAAAACATTGAATATGTGATACGTTATAAATAAAGATTATCAAAAGATCATTCACCATATTTCTGAACAAACTCTCTTTATTCGACAGGTCTCAGAGAACAACATGGTGCTTACGTCTCATTCATACAACCTACCAAATCTTTTCGATCACAGTGACTTTTTTCTTTTGTGATAGCTAAAGAAAGCACTTAAGAAATAATTCAGAGGTTAAAAAAAGAAATTTAGTGATGTAGATGAGAGGCAAGAAAATACAGTATATGTTCCCAAATTTCCATAGTGGACGAGACACCAGGAAAAGTTTATCAATGTAAATAGTGAGAATACTTTGAAGAAGCATAAAATATGGAAACATAAATATTAAATAATTTTGGTTATTTTTGGGTATTCCCTTATATGTAATTAACATGTGAAACTGAAGTTCTTTCATACACTTCAAGATGAAAATGAACAGTAATTTAAAATTTTGTAAGCGATCGCAAGAAAGAAATTTTTTCACACACTTCATTTAAAGTAATTTTTATCTACACTAAGAAGGTAGATTAATACATAATTATTTTTTTACAATAAAGGCATATGTGAGCTGTATATTTTATTTATGGTAAAGGGAGGGAACGGCGAATTTGTCAAATTTAAAACGATGCAAAAAGACTGTGATTTAATATATTCCAAGTATTTTATCCCACCAGCAATAAAGTTGCCGAACACAGACAGTTTAACCAGGTTTTTGTGATTTTTTTCATGTGTAACGTGGATATGAGTCAGTTTCCCTTAGAAAGTCTTCCCCTTAGGCAGATAGGCCTAGTGCGCGTTGCCATAATCTAATAAAACCAAAGGATTTTATGAAAATAATAGAATAACTCCTGATTTTTCAAAAACAATTAATATACATTCAAAACAATTAATATACATAGTAATAGAAATAGTGTTTATCAGTCATTTAGCAGTTTTCACAATCTAGCAGTATCAGATACTTTATATATATTAAATGAGTTTTTTTCTTCAAATTAGTTATTACTTCATATAAGACAAGCATGTTAGATTAAGTTAGATTAAATATGCTCACATCCAGATATTTATTGTAATTGACAGAGTGGAATAATTAAAATCAAGGACTTTGTCTAGAATCAAAAGTTGAGAGCAATTTATTAGAAAATCAGTATGTTCTCAAAATGATCTGTGCTCAATTTAATCAGTATCCAGCAGTTAGAAAGATAACAGAATTGAGGAAGATATTAAAAAATATTTTGAGAAAATGATTGTATAAGAAAAATAAACAACAAACACGTATATCTTTGAAAATAAATTTTGCATCTAAAAGTATCTCTGCACACTTAGAAAATGTGTTCATATAACTGCAGATATATAAACAGATAGAAAAATGTCCTATGTACTGCTGGAATTATTTTTGCAATGATGTATCAAAATGACCCTTAAGCATCATATTACAGCTAATAATTGAAAGAATACACTTAAAAGTCTTCCTAAAACTAAAAGAATCATGCATAGCTGTAAATGTATATACTAATATTACTTGACAGCATTGATATTTTATACGAGGGAAAAAAAAAAAACAACCCATCTAATTTCTACATTTTCAACACTAAAATATGAGTTAAAACCCTCATTTCAGATTTAAAATATAGAGCAATATATAGTAAAATAATGACAATCATTTAAAGTGCACATTTATATGTGCACACAAAGACTATATTATGAAACTGAAAAGATATGGTCTAGCTGAATAATTAAATATCAAAGATAACTGAACTCCTGCTTATCAGTGTAAACTTTGGATCCAAACAGATAAAGAAATCACTATCAAGTGCATCAGCCAGTTCTAAATAACAGAATAGCCCCATGTATTGACCAGTACACTGATATCATAGCATCTGAGGAATTAAACAGGGATCTGAGGGATGTTCTTTGGTAAGTAACTTTTCAATTCCAATTTTTTTTTTTTTTTAAACAGCATATACTTGTATGTGTTATAAAGTACCTTTGCTATAACACAAAGTAAGAGATGAATGAATAGAAAAGCAAAACACTTGTATTATAGTGATACTTTCAAAATTTTTATCATTTTGAAGTTTGTTTTTAGAAAGAATCAGAAGTATAAACACTTAAATATTTATGAAAATTAAACAATAATTACTATGCAAATATTTTGTGCCTTAACACTGCTAAATACTTAATGCCATATTTTCTTTCACATTAAAATAAGTTAAATAATTGCAAAAAAGCAATAAGTAGCTACATCTAGAAATTTACCATTAAACTATTTTTTGCCATGACTATTTGGGATTTTATCTCTTTAAGAATTCAAGTGGCAACATAAAATACATTACTCATAGCTTATAAATTAGTAATTTTCAGTAAACACGAGTTTAAAATTTAAAACCTTACTCTAAAAGAGCTTCTTTAGAAAATTAATATTTTTGGGAAAGGAGGAATATCTTTTGAAAATTTTAATGTATTTTTATTATCATTGTCATTTTTATGCATCTAAAAATTGTTAACATTATTTTTCATACAGTCTAATATCACCAAATAATTTTTCATTGCCAAATAGAATTCATTTGCATTGCAGCAAAATGAAAGGTAGTATTTATGTATCAACATAACCACATTAAAAGTCACAAAATTTTCAAAATGTATTATACTCTCGCAGCCATGTGAATAACTATTCTTTAGTTTTATAAGCAATTTTCAAGTGGGATTTGCATGCACAGTAAAATTTCTGAAAGAACACGTAAATATTCTTCAGTAAAATCACTAAAGGGAGCAACTGCTTTGAATATATTCTTTAAGTGATCCCCCAGAATTTCTTTTAAGACAAAAGAAACAGAAACCAGCTTATAAGATTTATCAAATTATACGTATGTATTTAATACATACAAAATTTTTGCCATCATCAGTTCATTCTTTTCCTTCCATAAAAACCAGTAAAGTGTACCAAGGTAGTTACAAAATGTGTAAAATAGTATCCAGTAAAGTGCACCAAGGTAGTTACAAACTTCGATTTGAATATACTAATTTAAAAAAAACATTAAAGAGTAACTTAAAAAAATGTTTAGCCACTTCATGACAATTTATACTTCAAAAATCTCATTTACAGAGATGTTTATTGATGTTTGATGAGATGCTTAATTATTGGCACAATTAACTTAAATTCCATCATAAAAATTTTTGTGCATTTCAATCCACCAGAAATGCAAACACATATATATATATATAGATATAAGATCTTTCGTAATCTCATTTCAACAAAGTACAACCTTCCTCCACACAGAATACTATCAACACAATCTAGTATTTATTGGAATTACGTAAATTGCTATTAAAAATTGAAGAAATAATATCTCTTCCATTATATACACATGCAAAAAGAGAGAGTATATATATATATTAGTGACTTTTTGATTATTAAATAATACACTTTAAAGAGCTTTATAATTTTAAGTAAGTTATTTAGATAAACATTACAGGCATTTCTCCATAGTTTTTTTTTTTTTTTTTTTTTGAAATCACTTGGCATCTTTTATTTTATGCAATTTCACACTGTTCATGTATTTTTGCCAAGTTATTCTGTTTGGCTAGTTTTGGTTGACCTCTATACATTTATTAATTTCTTCTTTTACTTATTATAATTCATGTTCTGTTTGAAAGAAATTTGGTGCACAATTATACAATAATCAATTTATGTATGCATTTCCAAGAAACAAGTACTTTAAGTATATAACTCTGACATTTTATGCAGTTTTAAATAATGATACTCTGATTGCAAGAAATAATAAATAAATAAATAAAAACATAAAATAAAAAAATAAATATGTTGACTAACAGGAAAGCAGCTTTACTCCATAAAATGTAAATAATTATTATAAGAAAAAGTTTTAATTTAGTGAAACTTAATTTAAAATGAAAATAATTAGTCAGAATGATATTTATTATATATGGTGAAATTGTGGAATGGGTTTAGAATTAAGAACAGATATCTTTATGAGTGCCACATAACAGTACTTCCTTTTACTACTTACACTCCAAATCAGTTTGAAAGAGAAATGTTACAATGTCAAATCATATTATTATTAGTAAAGTGAATTAAAAAATCTGGATGTATCAAACAAGTTAAATAAATCTGTTTATGCTCAATAATTCTTGGAATCTCATTTTCTGTCTCATCAGTTCTAAACCATTCAATAGTGGCTGAAAGAAAAGAAGTGTTGATTTAAAGCATGCTACAGCCTACTTAGTTTTCCCTATGGCAGATGTTTCTGACATAAATGAGTATGCATAATGCTGTCCTTTTTCATTCTTCATCTCCCCTCCCTCAAGCAATATCTGCAAGCTCTAGCATTTTTATAGATGATGGAAATATGTTACACTCAAACTTAACAATAACAGATTTATTAAAGAGCCTGGGATGGGAAAACAATTAACTGCAAGACTATTCTCTCCCAATTTTTTTTGAAGGGGGGGTTAAAAAATATTATATATACATATATATTTAGAGCCAAATGCAAATAAAACAGATGCAATCTTCATTTTTTGTGCCTAACTTATGCACTCTTTCTTAAAAAGCAGACAGATGCATATTTAAGTACATAAATGCAATTAACAATATGACTGAAGTGGAAAATATCAATATAGTTCAAGCTATGTTCAGGCAAAGGTAAACTTCCCAGCATTTATGTATATATTTCAAAAATAATATACTTTTATCCTTTTTTATGATTAAGTCAAAAATTAGCACCCAGGATATGAAATTACTAATTAAATGTGAAAAGGACGATAAAAAATGCTAATAAATTTAAAGATTAAAAAAAAAAAGTTTTTCAGAAATGAAGAAATATATGAAAAGATAACAGGGATAGATTGTGCTAGGTAGAACAGTCTTGTTTAATATTGACCACTTTTAACCACCTTTTTGATAATATATAATTGATATAACTAACAGAAAGTTAGTCAACTTCTTATTTAGAAAATTTCAATTTTTTCAAATCAGTAACCACTAGGAAAATATCGAGTTAATTTCTATTTAATTAATGCCACGGTTTACATTGGCTGCGATACTTGTGGGAAAAGTGCTAAAATAAAAAATGAACACAATTCAAGACTAGTTATAATCATTTAAATTTTAAGCACAAAAATAATTTCTAATTTTTGCTGCCAATTTCGATTTTACAGTTATTCTGTTCTCATAAAGCTCTCTCTCATTATTAAAGGCATCAAGGCTTGGCATAAAATTCACAAATCACATCTTATTTTAAGATGAACTTAATCTTCCTAATAGTCTCTAATTTTTATTTGACTAATGCAAACTTAATTTGCAAATTGAATTTATAAGAAATGTATAATTTTGAAGATAAACATATTGCTAAAAGAAGCTATTAATTGCCAACTAAAACTTTTCCTTGAACTTTAGTGCTGGTTATCTTATCTTTTATACCATCACAAAGCAGCTGAAGTTACAAAAGCAAACATGTTGCAAAATTTTTGATAAGGAAGAATTATCAGAGTAACAATTCACCCTCGGATAATAATGCAATTCAGCTGTCCTGATTTTTATATCTTTACTTTAAAAAGTGATAAGTGTTAATGATAGAATGGCAAAACCATGAAAAGAAACACATTGCAGGAAGATATGCAAACACAAATAAGAGTATTAATTTAGAAGAAAAACAACAAAAATCAGTGTTATATTTTCAAATTTTCACAGATATTTCTGAGAAAATTTGAAAATATATATCGCTGATTTTTGTTGTTTGACTTCTAAATTAATATTTGTTCAGCATGTTATTGTATCTTAAATAAGAGTATGTAAGGAAGTTAAGAATGAAAATATTTTAATTTAGAAATAAAGTACTAGTTATTAAAAAATTATGCAAATTAAATATAAATTTTAAAGAAATACTAATAATGTGCTTTAAAACATAACCATTCCTGGTAAGTATGCAACAAATGTACAGGCGGCAAAATTTAGTGCTGGCATATTTGGTCAGTATCCTTTAAAGTGGAAGTTACCTGTTCAAGAACAAATACACTATAAAATGATTTTTTTTTTTTTTTGTTCCAAAGATGGTAGACAGTGCCTTTTTTGACTAAAGGACAAAATAAATTATTCAATTATAGAGAGGCACATAAAAAAGTCTGCATGCAGGCACTTGACCTAAGCAGTAATGGTCCTGCTTTAAAATACAAGTTTATGCTGAAGAATATTTTTTAATAATTAGAAAACTAAATATACTGAATGAGAATTAAAATTAATAGCAATACTGAGACTGCATTAAAGCTATTGAGACTTTTATTGCATGAAAGAATGTTGAAAACAAAAGATATAAAGAATTTAGATAAAATTAAAGCCAAACTTTACATGTCATTTCTATTTATGTACTTCTTTTTTAAATAATATCATCTTTCCCCAAGTTTAAAAAATAATTAGTAAAATAGTAAAAATACCTGAACACATTCCAATAATATAAACATGATTTTTAGAGGCTGCTGTTTCATGGGACTTATTTTACAGTTACATAAAAAACCTATATGAAATACTCCATAAGCAAATAAATCGAACGTATTTTATATCTACAAATTATTACTCACTGTTAGAAGGTGATACTATGGGTAATGCAGATGGTTGCGAACTTGATGAGTTCCCTGATGATGACGATGAAGATGCTGGCAATTTGCACATTGCTTGTAGAGACATACGAAAAGATGCACTGGTCATTCGCTCTAAAAAGCTGTCCAGTTGTTTAAGTGACAGAGCATTATGCAATGTCTCAAGAGGTCTAATAGTTGGCACGCTACAGTAACCATCTGCAAGAGATAATCTCATGACAACAACTTAAATGCCAGAATGCATACAAGGATTAATATTCATGAACAAACAGTAATACCCAATTTTAAAAATTTAGAACAAGAAGAAATTTATTTTACCAGTTGATGACGGTGGAACTGCATTTTTTAGCTCTGGTGCACTTGATGATCCACTTATCACAGCTGTGCTAAAAAGACTGTTTGTTGAACCTAGGAAATTACAACAGGCATTTGTTGAACCTATAAATTGACAAGAAGAACAAGGGTAAGATTGTTTTGTTCAGTATTGGATACTCAATTCCTAGTAACTTCTTTTAAATGATTTATCAATTTTTAAAACTCTGCAGATAACCAGAATTTGTACAAATTTCTTTAAACAGAAATTAAATTTTTGTAAGGACTATCACCAATAAATAAATAAATAAATATAAAAATAAAGGAGATATCACCAAATAGAATGAATTAAAGCAATTATATATGCAACTGCCTTAACACTTGCAATATTATTCTAGAATAAAAGTGTGTAGGAAGTTTTAATACTAAACACAATCTAATATTTAACATAAAAGTAGTTTGGTAAAATCAAGCTTCAAAATAAAACAAACAATATATGAGTTTTCAAGTTGATAACATTAATTTATGTTAAAATGAATTATGTCCCTGAAACATTAAGTTAAAATTAAATTATATTTTTGAAACATTTATATTATACACCTACTAATAGTCATCACACATTTTTAGATGATTTACGTGATCACTATTAAAAAATTCTTTTATTTTATAAAAATATATGTTAAAAATGCACTATTAAAATCACAATCGAAGGAAATTTTATAGTGGGAAAGAGTCCCTTATTCTGTCTTTGCGTACAGATGTCATGGAAAAACATTTTTAAATTGCATTCGATAGTGCTCAAAATGGATATTTTCATTGAAATATGCTGCCTGAAACTTTTCGCGTTTACAATACTTCCTTTTTACTTCATACAAGGAAGCAAAAAATGTTGTCAGAAAATTGAAATTGAAGAAGCTTCACAAAAGCAAAATTCTGAAAATTAATCTTGGTTAAATTACGATTTCTTTTATGAAATACAAAGGTAAAACGTATATACTAAAGGAAATATTAAAAATACTTATTATACAACATATTTATTAGAAATGAGATTTAGTACGATAAACTTCGAAACAAGGCAAAGTCCTAACTCACAACCTTTGCACCAAATTCACGTTTCCTTGCAACCTTTTTGGCCAGTTTCATTTTTTTTTTTTTGGAGAAATAAACAGCAGACTGTCTACAAGGCTCTTTCTTGATGGGATTTGGGGGGGGGGGGGGGGTAATGGCTAGAAAAATGTCAAGCAGTTAATCTCATGGGATTGAGTGTTGAACTACATCTGCCATGGTAAATACTGGAATTTCCATTTGAATACTTCTGAATGCTTAGCTTAATAATTTCCAAACGGAACTCCAGTATTGCAAAGAAAGGAAAATGAAGCAAGAGCTGGTGGAATACTTTGCATATCAATTTTGCACCACTGTTTAATGTTTTGAATAGAAAATGAATCTTCAGATTTATCATTATCTGCAGAGGAATCCCCAGAAATTCTTATCAGTTTCACTATAACTATCTTCGATATACTTGAAATCAGCATCTGAACTGCTATCAGTGTTGGAAATATTGTCAGGAATGTGGTATACATCAAATCACAGACAGACATCATTGAGCTTTGAAAAGAGTGCACAAAATGATGCAAAACATGCTTGTATATTTTGCAGAAATACTGACAACTAAAGGCCGGTTTCCACTACAGTGTATGAATGTGTTGCACCAATTGAAGACACGCCTACGGCATCTGTACAAGCGTTTCCACTGCCGCGTATCCGTAGATTATTTTCAGTCACTGTAATATTTTGGCACCAAACAAGCAGTTCGCGAGTTACGATGCTAAGCATCTGAATTTTTCCCGCTAAAGCGAGTATTGTTTGTTTTGTATTTGATATAGATCCTGACGTAGAACGCAGAAAAGTTTTGTTCACTAAATTCCACGTTATTGGAAATTTTTATTTCTGCTTATGAACTACGAAAGTAACTACGCCAGCAATTTTTAGATAAGTAAGGTTATATTATGAACATCACTAATTGCATAGAAGCTGAAGTAAATTTTAAAAATTTCTTTGCATTTCTAGAAGCCTTAAATATAAATGAAATAATATATATGTTATTAAAACTAAAATGTCCTGTTACTGAAAAAATAAACAAATAAATAAATAAAATAAAAAAGTTAAATGAATTAAAAAATAGTTGATACTTTAAAAATACAAAGCAACTGTACAGAAAGGTTCACAATATTTACACAAAATTTGCTATGCTTGTATAGCGCTGACTTCAGGTTCATAACTGGATAATTTATTAGAAATCTTGTTTGTTTTAAAATGCACTCTGGGCATTTATATTTTATGCATAATCCGATAAAATATTATTTTTAATTCATATCTCTTTTTATAGAAGAAGTTATAAAAATAAGCTATACACACATTAGGTAAAGAAAATGGAAATATTTAATTAATTAATTCCTGCACTTCTGCTGGAGAGGACTGAATTTTAAAAGCAATTATCATAGTAATTTTTTTGTTAAAAAAATGTTTAGGGCATTCATACCGTCTCATGTTAATTGGTTATGAAAGTTTAGAGCCGTAAACATCCCAGAGTCTGAGCACATGTATGTACATTCACATAAAAGTGAAACGAACATATATATATATATATATATGTACAGGGTTTCAAAAGAATAAATACTAAAGTTAAATTAAATTTTAATTTAATTCTCTTACGCCATTGCTGCAAGGAATGAAATTTTAATTTAACAAAGATTCTCCATTCACAAAAAGCAAATTTAAAGATAATTAAATTTTAATGAAATTTAATACAAACAAATAAATGATTAATTATTGCTGTGTAAATCTATAATATCATTTAAATTCTGAGAGCATATGTAAATCAAGCACAAGTATCAAAATCCATGAATAAATATATAATTCCAAAAATTTATTTATCCTAGTAATTCATTTATGCATTTTTATAAATTTTTTAGGATTAATAAATTTTTGGAATTATATATTTATTCGTGGATTTTGATACTTGCACTTGATTTACATATGCTCTCAGAATTTAAATATTGTAGATTAGTTCGCAGCAATAAGTATTCCTTTATTTGTTTGCATTAAATTTCATTTAAATTTAATTAACTTTAAATTTGCTTTTTACGAACAGAGAATGTTTGTTAAATTCAAATATATATGTATGGTATGCTTTAAATTCGTATTATACAATTTTCAAAATCTTTTGTGGGGAAAATTTAAATAAATAAGAGCATAAATAAAACAATATATTTAATGCAAAAAGTAATAGAAATAAATTATAAAACATGAATACAGATCATAATTGGAACAAAAAGCTAAGAAAGTTGCAGACAGGGTGCAAAAAGCATATGGGATTCGAACTCATGACCCCAAAAGTTAAGCATTGTTACCGTCAGCTTTACCACTAAGTTAGCATCACACGATAGTCTTTATGCATATTTGAGTTTATATACATCATCAAGTAAATCAATTCTTTAAAACTAAATTTTTTTGTCTTATTTCAGTGAGCTATTGTCTAAAAAAAATTCACCAGAGTTTGTTCTTCAGCTTCTAGTACATTTTTTACAAAAAACATTATCTGTTAAAGTGGCGTTCCAATTGAAGTTAAACGGGTTGCTAAAAATATATTTCATGTGCTTACAAATATATGTTATCCAAAAAGAAATAGAGAAATACAAATTTAACATACTCTTTAATGCAGTGGATTATTTAAAAGGCTATCAAATTTAATTTATAATTAACGTTTTTAGTTTTTACCTGTTTCAAAAGAAAAAAATAACATATCTTTTAATCATATCTAATTTGCTATAGCAGTTTGATATAGTCAGAGATTCATTTTCATTAAAGGTAAATGAGTATGCAGCACTGGGAAATAATTGTCTGGACAAATTTTGCTATTTTATGCAAACAAAGGACAAATTTTGGTCAGGACAAATTTTGCTATTTTATTTGCTATTTTATGGATTTATATTAATTTTGCTATACTTGGAATTTAAATTTTTGCCACTAATTTTCTTGAACACCTGATTCTATCTGCGTATAAGTAATGTAGTTGCAGTTATCTTATTTTTCTTATCTTTTTTTAACTAAATTCAGCTGATTGCTGATTTTTTCAGTATGCAGATTTCTCGCTATAATGTTAATTCGGAAATAAGTATTTTTTAGCAAAACATTCTTCCCCTAAGCGAGCGTTCATTGCTACTTTTGCAGCCATCAATTTTTGGTTACTACATCTGATTGCTCCTTTTTTACCACGTGACCCCAACACATCCGCAGACATATGGATCTATGGAGACATATAGAGTTGAACATTGTTGAACACCATTCGTACGTCATCCATCACTGCACATCGACTGGATTGCAGATGTCATCAAAGTGAATTCACTCGCTGATTGGAGAAACGCATACGCAGCAGTGGAAACGCGGCTTAACGCCATCTGTTAATTCAGATCTGAATAAACTATTAAAACTTGCAAAAAAGCCGAAATTAAACCATGAATGGGAAAAAAGCGGGTTGCACAATTAAATAGATAGAGAAAAAGCATCCCTATGAAAATCGAGGGTTGTGCAAATTTCACTACTTCTACATTGCCATGGACATTGTGGGATACGTTGTGATAGGGTTAAGGAAAGAAATTCCTCATCCAGGAAAAAACATTTTCCCTCTTCATCACTTTCCACTCATACTGTCCACTCTCCTTCATATAGGTAGAGTAAAATTAAATTAAGTTTACATCTACAGTAAAATCTCTCATAGCTGATACTCAGTTAATTGGTAATATCGAAACAGTGCCCTTTTGGAGATCTAAATTTAAATCCGAAATTTAGGTCAACAAGATAAAAAAGTCTGTTATGAACACAAACTGAAGGTTATATACAAACTGAATACAAACTGAAGGTTATATACAAACTGAAGGTTTTTCAGAAACAATTCATACTGGAAAATGCCATATTTACTTTTGTCTTGGAAAGATAGAAAGAACATTAATTTATGCTGCTGTTAATGTAAATTGTTTCCTCTGATCATTTTCGTAGATGAAAATCCAGTGACAAAGTTTCTTCGGTTTTAAAACACATTCAGCATCTGTGGCCGAGATTTGGGATTTGGTTACGAGTTTGGAGAACCCT